TTTCATTTATAGTTTCATGGAACTTGCCAATATCAAAGAATCGGTTGAAAAGATAAAGAGGAGCTTGGTGCATCGTAGGAGAAGCATTAAGAGTAAATAGAACTGCGTGGTCAGAATTTAAGTCAAGAATATTTGAAGTATGGCAGTGTATATGAATGGATAATTTAGTTACGAAGATGTCCAGTGTATCTGGATTTTATTGAGAGGAGCAAATAACCAGTAGGTTGGCCCAAGAGGGGCAAATATTTTCAGTTTTTTTGTATTTATAAAATTATGCAGTTTGATTCCACGGGGTTTATTTGTGCAACAGCTCCATGCTTGGTGTTTGGCATTTAATCGCCGCCAATAATGAAATTATTTTTGATTGTAATAAAGTACTCTGAGAACTTAGAAAATGTTATGTTATATATTGAGGGAACGTATACAGCAACTATAGTAAAATGATTATCATTTAATTTTATATTAATTGCACAAGATTGTATGAAGTCATGAGAAAAACTAGGAAGGAGTTGGAAAACAACGGTTGACTTAATATAAATAGCTACACCTCCATGCACCGTGTTGTCAGGATGTTTAGTATGGATTAATTTGTAACCAGAAATTAATGTTTTAATATATTTAGTGAAATGAGTCATAATCATAATTTAGAATTATTTCAAATATTATGTTATACATTTGTGACCAGTGGCAGATTACCCACTAGGCTCGTGAGGCACATGTAAGATTATATGTATTCTATGTTTGAATTAAAGTGTAGATTAATAATTATTCAACCATAATACCTTTGAATCATTTCTCACTTCTAGGATGGCTATACCCAATTACCCATCACTCTTCAATGTTAGCCCATTCAAATTACGATCTCTGGATAGTACTTAAAAAAGGGGGCGGTAAACACTCAGCGTGCCTCAGGGCGCCGAGAAGGTTAATCCGCCACTGTTTGTGACTAAATGATATGTTAATTTGTTTTAATTGTTTTCCACTATTTAAATAGTAATGTACAAAACTAAATCGTCGAAAAAAAAAGTTTAGTTATGAAATAATCTTTTATGAGTTTACGGCTAGATAAATAATTAATTGAAATTATTTCATACATTTTTATAAATATCAAGTTATTCGAGGTTAAATATTTTAAATTGTATTCTAGTTTATAATGTGTTATTTCGTGAGTAAATTATAAATTATGTCTTGTTGCATTTAAAATCGATGAAAATAAATAAAATACTCAGTGTACGCACATAGAATAATAATTTTAATAAAAAAGGCACGATTTATTTCAGAAATAACTTTTTATGTACACAAGCTTTATACTCGTACAAACAGTAATGTTTACATGAAAATTAAGAATATCTACCTAAATTACGGTCGAAAATTTGGTATTTATAAAGTTAAATCGTAAAAACTTGATTAGTTAGTGTGTCTAATTAACAGAATTTTCATACTTGAACGTTTATAATGGATAGGTTACCGAATTCACACACATATAATCTTTTATGTAAAAACACATATTTATATATAGTTGTTTGCTTATGGGCATCCAACGTTCATCATTTCATATGAAATAATGACGAGCGATTGAATGCCTTTTGGAATTTCTCTTCCTTCCATACAAATGCGTTATATCAATAAGGTCGACGAAAATCGGGTGTAATGGTTTATAGACCACGTTCTAGATTAAGTGCTCACATATTTTAAGTATATGCATATACACCAAACATATACCTATGTTTATAAAATGTATTACACTCCAATAGCAGGGTTTTTATTTGCGGAAAAACCGTCGATGTGGTATGTAAAACGAGTCTTTTCTACACCACAAGTTGAGCGGGTCAATTATTCAAATTCGGACGTTTGGTAAATTCGTTTACGCAAAACCAGCAATTTCAACCGTTTGCAGGACAGGTCAATGGAGATGGACGCTTAATTTATTTTTTTTATATTTTGCCCTTGTCCTTTTCATATTCATATTGTTATCGTCAGGTCATTGTGTGACCGAAGCTAGATGACGTGTCAATATTTGAAGGAAAAGGAAATTAAAAAAAAAATTAAAAAAATCGGTCGATAGTGCTTTAGCATTGTTATAGTGTATTCTATATAGTAAAGAAGATTAATATTTCAAGGGAAAGGGATAATGTATTATCTATGTAGATAATTGAAATTTTATTAAAATACTGTTATCCATTTCAGACCAGAATATTTTGAGTACAAAATTGAAATATTGTAAGCATTTTTTTTAAACATATTTTCTTTTGAGAATTTTATCTTTTCATTTATACATCATCATAACAATGCTGCATGGTAAAATTCTATTAGATTACAAAAAATATTACTATCAAGCTTTTTTTCGTGTGAAATACTCTTGATATGAAATGTAAATTGCTATTCAAAATACACGACTGTTTAAATTAAGAATGTATTAGTGTTGGTTTCAATGATAACAAAAAAAATATATGTACAAATTATTAAGATTCTGAATAAAATATTGTTAGTTAAAATTTGAAATACATATGATAAAAAAAAATGTAGCTACCCCATAAACGACCAAAATAAACCAATTTGTTGTACTTTTTATAGGAAGATTTAAAATAAAATATATTTTCATATATATATTTATAAACACGTTTCTTTGATATTTGTTTTGATCTGTAGTTGCCTTTTCTATGAGTTATAAACTACAGTTGAATTGAGAAACAAAAACAACAACTATAAAATTATTTTACCCATGAAATAGTTCAAATATTCTTCTTGCTGTTGAATTTGATTTTAAATTTCAATGTAAAAATTCAGAAATACGTTGAGAAAACTATGTATATATATATAAATAGAAATAATGATATTTCATAATGAAACGAGTAGATATTGTCAGTTGCAAGGACAGGAAATGAAAAAATGCACAAGTAATAAATATGTATCTGCTTAAACGCGATTCCGCAATATCACTCGAATAGTGTTTACGGTCAGTTGTGATTTTATTAGTCCTTTCATTAGATGATAAGAATTGAGAAAGTATAAATTAATAAAACCAAAAATAAAAACCGTTATAATTTGATTTATGTGTGTTTGAATAATAGTGGTTGTTTCCGTAATAAAATGTTTTGAAGGTACCTACATGTTTGGAGAATGGTTTCAAAACGTTGAGAATCTGCACATCGCGTGTTCCAAAACGAAATCTTACGCATGTAGACATTTGTGATTCAAAATTTTATATTTATATGTGTATAATATGGGCAAAAATTAAAAATATTTCTTCGACGACACTTACTGGTTTTTTGTGAGCCTAAAGCACACTCGTATGTATATGCTAGTTATAAACTGAACAACAGTGTATGTCACATAGTGGTACTTAAGTGAAGCTTTTGTAACAGAAAACCTTTATCGTATCGATTTTGAATACTATAGCATAAGATAAATATACGAAGCATGTTTAGAAAGTAAAAGCACTAGATTTTTTTTAGTTTTATAAAATAGTTGTATATATATATAAAAAAATTCATTATATTTTTAACGTATATATAAGCTATTTTTACACGTAATAACCTTCTCGTACTACGCAAGTACTGTCAATCGGTGGTTAGGTTAGTTATGAATAATTTTTTCGATTTTTTGTACCAACTCATTAGTCGCATTTGAAGGTCTCCCACGCCTCTGATTTTTATGAATATTCTTTCTGCCTACATTGAACTTACGACAATGCTTAAACACGTTCGTTCCGTGCATAACACCATCGCCATAAATATTTTTGATAAGTGTGAAAATGTCAGTACGTGTATTTTCTTTCACGTTAAGAATGGTCAACTTTGAAAAACAATTTTCTACCAGGTTTAAAGGGCAACAAAACCTTTACTTTCTGAACATGTTTCGAATATATATAATTAATGCAGTTTCGTGCCGAGATAAAAAATTTTTTGATGCTAATTGCAAAGTCTAGTTTACCACCCACCCACCCATATTTAAATTCATCTCATTCAGAACTCATATATCAATATTTCTCTACCTAAATATATACGATAATTATGTGATTTACATATTATTATCCAACAACCACCCACCCCTTTTTAACTTAATGCCTGGGCTTCATTTAGACCTATATTCGGCACGCCACTGAATTTATGTATGATTTATATTTCTTAATCTAAGGTTGTGAGAAAAATGTGGCACACAAAAAATGCAATAATTGGAGCACCAAAAGTTTATTTTTATTCTTACCTTATACATTTTTTTGGAATTATTTTAAATCGTAAAACCTTTAGACGTGTAGTATCATCGTTATACATAATAGACACCAATAATTAAACGTTATGTGATTTATCACTAACCAAACAAATGTATATATTTATGTGATACGCCGTTATGATATAGCTCAACCAGTAGTGATTGGATAAACTATGCAGGCATACGAGATATGTGTTGGTATAGTGTGTACTTGTGCGTACATATTAATTATATAACAACATATTATATTATGTATAGTTAAAAACTATGAAAAAAAAAAAAAAAAAGTTACTTGAATAATTGTTACTAATTATCGCTGTATAATAAATAACAGTCCCAAATAGATAACACGTGCATAAAATTCACATAAATACACAATGTAATAATATATTGATGTATAAATATGTATTGGTAGTGGCCGATGATACAACAAAATATTTAAAGACTATATTAAAATTAATTTGTTCGCGAGCATTATAAAATTAAATTTTGTAGAGGTTCGAACCCATTATACCCAGGGCAACAATTAGTTTCGTGATGTAAGCAATGAAATCTAGCATATTTTATGTGTGTCATTATTAAACTTTTTTTTTCGGCTTAAAAATATATCATAAAGGAAAGTACAGTACGAATATATTTTTTACCCATTAAATAATTTATTTATCATTTAAAAAAAAAAAAAACACGCATCGCAGTAGACTTTTAAATAACTAATTTTAAATTTTATTTACATATTTTAAATAAATAATAATGTTTTCGTAACTTTCGACATGCATTTTTATTTTCAGGGTTTGGAATTTAAAGGTCAAATGGTGTTGTGCAATGAATCTGAATCATTATTGTTCGTTGGTTCACCACTGCTGGACGGATTGGACAGCTTGACCAGCCGGAGCCTGTTCATATCGGACATACCATTACACGATGCCACCAGAGACGTGATATTAATTGGTGAACAAGCCAGAGCCCAGGTAAAACACACAATATTATGTACATGAATTTAATATATTCCAAACAACTCTATTGCTTATGCGCCATGCTGCAAACCATTAGAATACAATGTATTATCCACTAAATGAATAAGGCTTACCCAGTGTATTTATCACAGTGCGTTCATGCGTATATCCTATTGATGAATGGACCCAAAGGTATAAAAAAATAAAATAAAAATAATATACACGTGGACGCTATCTATTTATTCGAGTTTATATCACTGAGTTATTATTCCACGCAAACGACGGTTTTCCGTGACAACCGAAGATGAAGTGAATCCTTCGAAATGTAGACACTTATATTATTGGTGCAGGGATGCGACTATGATAAAGATCCATAGCAGATTTAGTGGATGGTAATGTTATGATTTGTAAAGAATTTATGGTAAAGAGCCATTTTTTCCTGATACACACAAACCATAAGACATCAAAAACAACAATGGTTATTTGTTACAATAACAATAACGATGATATACCGTGGTGCGTGGCCGTCTTTAGCAGAGAAGTATGCAAATTCATGGCAGGTAAAACAATAAGTTGGTCCCATGAATTTGTAGGATTAAATTGTTTTATTGACGTAAAAAAGCTGTTGTTCTTAATAGATAGGTTGTTTCAATATCAGTAAATGTAACTTGGTGTATTGGAAATTTTCTATCATTTTTCCAGATTTTCTAGTTCTGCAGTAATTTCTTCGTTTATTAAGTCTAGAAAAGTGCCTTTGATGGCTAGTTAGCCTGATTTCAGCATGTGTTGCGGTGATATTATGGGCATGGCCCGACGACAACGGAGACACAACAAACTGGTGGTTGGGAATCGGGACAGTTGCGACACGGACGTGCTATCGAACGGACGGTCGGAACATGAATGATGATGTTTTATATAATAGTGTGATTAGTGTGGAGAGTTGAGTGGAGAATTGACCTGTATTTATATTATTTATATTGATTTCATATAAGTTCTTTGCTCTGATTAGTTAATTCTCCAACTATCATCAGTGTAGAATCGTATTGTTAGTGTCTGGTCGTTTTATGCCTAACACGCTACTCGACACTGTTGTATCATGCTTTTTTTAAGGTGTTAAGTATATTTTTTCACAAACGTTATGGCCCTGATAAGGGCCGTTTTATGTTGATAGCTTTTACCTATACAAATATGGTGTTCTATTGCTAATATCACTCCCCCGCAGTGATAACACCTGCTAGTAACACAATTATCAGTATGTTTTTATAACACGCATCAATGGTATAGTTGTATAATAAAGCAATAAAAAAAAATAAATATTTTTCTTTTGGTATTGCTCCTAATTAATGCCCCAAACGTCTGAATTACGGTGTAGCGAGTTCGTGTATGTATATCGACTACTCTTTTTAATAATTTTTAATATTTTTCGATTTCTTTGAAATTATTTGAAAGCATTTTTTAAATTCTATATCATTATTATCTCATAAAAAAATATCACATCTTCCGATGAACATTGTTTTACTGAAATTATTAAATTCACACGCCCCGTAGTTAGTATTTTGATAAGAGATAGTTATATCATTGTACGTAGATGCGTTTGGATTGAGATATGAATAAATCAAATTTTTTGATTACCCAATAGATCATAGATTGAACATACGTTTAATATATATATGACATGCATTTGACATTAAACGTTTACAAAATAAGCAAAACCACAGACTTTGTTTTAATAGTGGTTGGGGCATAAGTTTTAACATCTAGCTCTTCTATATATTCACCATTGAATTTGTGTTAGATGTTACCAACTCTTGACAACATGAAAAAATCGATCTTATTTAAGCATAAACGTGGGTGTACTTTTGTCACATAATATTACAATATGACGAAGGACAGCATCAGTAGTGGCAGCAGTTTAAACCAGTGTAAACCAGATCAGTGGCGCAACCAGGATTCTTCGAGGGGGGGGGTTGTGAATTTGAAAAAAGAAAACATTCTTGACAGATATTTGGTGGGGAAAAGAGAGTAAAATTAAGTTAGGTTTATGAGTAAAATATTTAAATTAAAAATTAAACTGTTTAACTTCTATTTATAGATAATGCACGTTGGAAAATAATTAGACTAATTGAATATTTAAATAGGTAAACTTTATTCATAAATCAAAGTTTAATAAGTAATAATATAATAATTTATAGTTTAAGATTAATTCTCCGTGTAGAGTGTTTTGCCACTTCATCTAGCACCAAATCTGCTTTAACTTAAATATCTGTATGTATATTTAAAGTAGTAATTCCATTAAGTCCCTGCTCTTCTGTAGTTTTACGTAAATAAGTTTTTAGTCTCTTAAGTGTAGAAAATGACCTTTCTTCTGTGGCAGTTATTACCGGCAATGTAATTAAAATTTGTAGTAGTTTTGCAATTATTGGATATACTTGAAAATCACATTGAAAGTATTTATCTATCAGATATCTTTTTTAATGTTTGACTGATTCCTGGTAATCACAACTTTGGTACCACAAGTCTAACTCTCCAAAACACATTTGGTCACTTACAATAGAATCAAAACAGAAATTTAATATGTCCGTATACAAATTTGAAATTTCTTTAAATTCTAGTTGAATTTCTTTAGTAACAACTTTTACTTCTGGCTTTAGTAGTAGACAAATAAAACTTTTTAATATGGTTTAGTGTTCCAAAAAATGATTTTTCATTTGGTCCAAGAAATTGTCAATAAATGGAATAAATATTGAAACACAATAACACTGTTCTGGACAGTCGGGGGCTACATTGCATCTCATTTACTACTCGTCTGTGATTCTCGGAACACAAATATTAATATTTAATTCATTACAAGTATCTTTAGTTTCCTGAAGTATGGAATGAAATTGGTTATCAACATTATCTCTAATGTTTTAACTGCATACTGTGTTTGACAAGCAAAATTTAAAGCTCTTTCTAGGTCCAAATTTTCAGACTGGAAAAATTTGCTCAATGATGCACTTAATGAATATATTTTTAGTAAAATACTCAGAGAAATTTAAAATTTAAATTGATGTTGTAAGGTATTTAACTAATTTGCTGGTACTGATGAATCTATATCTCTCCATTTATAAATCTCATCTAGAGCATTAATAATGGCAGGCTGAATCTTGTGGAACATCGTTACTGCGTCATGACGTTCTACCCATTTTGTAGCACAAAATTATTTTAGTTTTGATGGTTTGGATTCTGTTACTATGTTTTTAAAAGATTCTTGTAAAATATTTTGTTTTTTATGATATCTAAAAAATGTACAAACTGATTGCATTATCCCCATATAATTCCTAATTTCTACTACATTACAACTATATGATATTGCAATGTTAAGGCAGTGAGATGCGCAATGTATATATAATGCCATAGGGTGGTCGATTCTAATCTGTGCCTGTACACCATTAAACCTACTAGACATTGTTGCTGCTCCATCATACCCTTGACCAACTAAATATTTTACTTCCAATCCAATACTTTTTAAACATTCCAAAATTGTTGTATCAAGTGCTTATTCAGTGACTTCTTTGACTTCTACAAAATGTAAAAAATCTTTTCGAATCTTTTTTTGCTCAGTATGAATGTATCTCACACATATTGTCAACTGGTCTTTGTTTGATATATCAATGGTTTCGTCAGCTAGTACAGTGAACGCTTTATATTTATTTATATCTTTTACATGTTGTTTTAGAATTAAATTGTTACACACTATAAGAATCTCATTTTGGATTTTCCAACCAACATACAACGTATGTTTAGGACTATTTTGTAGATCATCATCAAGATCTTTATCGCCAGAATCTACTCTAAACCTTAATAATTGTCTGAAATTTCCATCATTGTCATCATTAGTTAATTCAGTTCTTGTGTCATTTTGATTAATAAGTGGTTTATTTTCCCGATGTCCTCTAAGTGCGATTTCTTATTTACCATAAAATAGAACAGTTTTATCTATGGATAGAATGCATTTTCTATTATTTTATATTTCTTCTTTCAATACATTATTTATTTGTAATTCCACAGAGTCCACTTTATTGTTTTTCACAGCAACAAAATGGTCATATTTGTACTGGCATGTCTTATGGTAATTAGTATTGGCTTGTATTTGAAATTGGCCTTTAACACCTATTGCTTTTTTCCAGTTATCAAATTTACTTGTCACTAAATTTCCTGAACTCTGATGGGCTCCTTTTCCTACTGTATCAAGACTAAAAAGTACACTTATCCTACAATAAGCTCTATTTTGCTCTTTTGAGTATTGTAACCATTTAAACTGAACCAACCATGAATATTGAAATTTTAAGTTCCTATTTTCAGATTTAGGAAATTTACAATCAGGACTAGGAAACCATAGTTTTTATATTGCTATTGACTTTTTATTATCAGTTAACTAAAATAAAATTAAGGATATAAGATCAGTTGATACAATTAGTTAAAATGTATATCTTTGTTCATAAATAAATTAACTTACGTTTTTCTCTACATAATAAGATATATCATAACTGTTTTTACTTAATATATACAGTTCATTTGATGTACCAGCTACAATAAGTTCATCACAAATAACCTAATAATGTTTATAAAAAAAAGCGTTATGCGTTGAAAAGCAAGAAGTATGAAAAGGAAATAAATTTTGCATCATAAGACATACAAGAAAATACATTTTAATTTATAATAAAAAAATATAAGACATAATTTACAACAGAATAATAGATAGTGAAAAAAAGATAAAGGAAATTCCCAAGCTAAACACCACAATAATATCTGGCTGATTTTAAAATCTTATAAGTTTATTAAGATTTTATAGATTCAAATTATATTTTTATCTATATTTAATGCTTATTACATCAATGTACTTTATGTATTAAAATATAAGTTAAAAAGCAACAACAAGTATAACTGTTGAATTTTAAACTATAAGTCAAATAGGGGCGTATTTAGACTTACTTATAAAGGAAGGGAGGACGATTCAAATTTTTTCTTTAATT